TTCCACAGAGCACATCTACTGGCACAAAGCAAGACACTTCACATCCCCATTTCATAAAGTTCCAAGGATCAGGCTGAAGAGTGAAGCTGGGTACCACAAGCCAAAACAACAGAGGAAAGAAAGCAGGGGTCAGAAGGCAGTTCCTAGAGAGAGGCCTGATTCTCACCAGGCAACTGGGTACTACTTGAATGAAATGACTGCTTTGTTACATATTGTCTAGGAGCACTAGAGAGAAAGATAACACTCTCCAAATCAGGCGGCACCAGTCAGCCAAGAGAGCTCATGTAAAAACTATTAAAAGTGATAATTTTAGAAGTATTTTAACTTCAGGAGCAAAGTAGAGCTAACATTTATAATCTTAAACGTTAATCCCAACTGCTTTCATTCAGTTACACTAACAAAAATTCAGGAATAGAAAAAATACAAAATGATATGAAATGCATAAGATCCTCATTACCATGGCCACAGGACCTCCCTCCTGAGCAGGACATCATTCACAAGGCAGGGGCCTAGAATGTTTTGGTTGAGTGCCACCAGATGTGGGTCCCTATAAAAGTTGGGTTGGCAAGCAGGTTTGGGTGAAATCAACACCTGTGAAAGGAAGGTGGTGGCATCAGGTTGGGCAGAGGGATAAGTCAACCACAGCAATCAGGCCCAACAAAGCCTGATCCTTGCCAGAGGTCTGAGATAGACAGCCCATCGGAATTGGACCTTGAAAGGCCTTTATGCTCCTGCCACCTTCAATCTTTGGATGTGGGCAGTCTTGGAATGGGCACATCCTAGGGCAAGGAGACTCTCCGCAGCTGAGGCTGTCCCCCTAAGAAGAAGATGGCTAGAAGCTTCCTGAATTCCCATCAGCAGAGATTCCTTAGCAGGGTGATGGGAAGTGCATCTCAATGACCGCCACGGGCCTTTTTGATTCTACACAGGTAAAGACACAATGGCCCCATGGCAACATATCTAATCAGCAGCACAGTAGCACAATCCATCTCTCCTTTAGACCTGCTGATCTAAACTGGAGTGTGAGGTCAATGCATTATAAAGGGAAACTCCAATGTTTAGTAAAGAGACTGTACAAAAGAAGGGCTGTAAACCCAAAGGACAGAAAGAGAAATTAAATAAAATGTTAAGAATCCTAAACCCCCGTTGCAGTTGCTCTAAAAGAAATGATTGCCAAACATGGTACAAAATGAAAACAATTGAGAAATATGAAAAACGACAATGAATTACACAAGCATAAAGGCAGTCTAAAGGGTTCTTTTATTTCCTTCTAATTCTGAAATGATAACCTCTCTTATAATTGCCTTAGGATGCTGGTACAATTGAAATGTTAGCAGAAAATAATAAAACACATTTGCAGAAAGGAAAAAAAAAAAAAAAAAACCCTGAAACTAAAGCAACTGTAATAACAACAAATTGCCACAAGGAAATAGTGTGTTCTAATTTTTAATTTTGCTTTTTCAAGAACAAAGGAATCCAATAATATAATAAAAGGTGAAAAACCTACACCATAAAAACAAATATAAAGAGTTGCTGAGTATTTCCAAGGCTTGCAAAGCAGTCCCCATTGATTAACTAACTATAGAAAGAGTGAAGTTTTTAAGCAATCCTTGGTATCCAAAATGTAACTGGATATGATGCAGCAAACACAGGCTTTACCACAAGCTGGGTACCACAAGCCAAAACAACAGAGGAAAGAAAGCAGGGGTCAGAAGGCAGTTCCTAGAGAGAGGCCCGATTCTCACCAGGTTGTTTTAACATTCTGGTTTTCATAGGCTCAGAAATATCATTCAGTGATTGCTTTCTGTCCTTTCATAAATGCAAAAATCAACGATGAGCTCAGAAATAAAACTGCCCACAACACTTAGCAGCAGGTGATCCTCATGTGGAATTCTCTGTGTCAGTTCCCCTCAGGTGAAAAATGGGGATCACAGATGCAGTCCAAAGAAAAACATCTTTGTAAAAGTGCTCAGCACAGGATTTAAAAGTGCTAACTATCATCGCTATTGTTGTTATTATCATCATTATTATTTCTTTTTTTAATATTTATTTTTCTTCTATTGTTGATCAAATAACATTCAGATTCATGGGGCCAAAAATATTCTTCAGAAGATTGCAAAACACATACACAGACACATGTACACAAACACAGACCAAAGAAGTAACAACAAAAGTCCACAATTAAGTGGTGCCTCTGAAATCCCTAAAATAGGAACAATCACATTTCTTTAGGGTCAGGAGAAACAGCCAAGAATCTTGAGGAGATTATTACTATTCAGTATGAACACTAAGAAAACGCACAGCACTATTTGTTTTCTGTGACACAGACCCTCTCACTCTTGTAGTTCATGAACTGGGTCTGGGTTCAGGTCACCTTCTCACCCTGCTCAGCATGTCCCTGAAGCAGCAGCACAGCAGACGTGACAAGCCTGGCAAACCCAGGGACAAGCTCTTCCAACCAAGGCTCTCAGCATGAGGCAAAGCTGTGTGGGCAGAGTCTCTCAGCATTTTCAGGGCATTCAGTTATTGTGTGATTGGAGGTAAAACTGATCATGGCTGCAAGAAAACAAAAGACTACAAGGCTTTTTTCACTGACAGGCTTTAGGACACATGAACACCACATGTTGTCCAAGGTGGATTTTTCCGAGATTCTGCTAATACAAACAAAGACTGAATCTGAAGATTTTATAATAGCAACACCTATCTGTAATGAAATCTGATGCTGAAAAGTGTGGGTCAACAACATTTTTAAAACAATAAGGTAAATATATGCCTGAAAAAGAGAAGCTACCACTTCATTGTTGTTTCAGAATGTAAGACTCCTAATTCTTTGTCATGAGCCTGCCTACCATGTCAAGACAGCCATCAGAGTCAGAAAAAATCACATATTGCAGAAATATTTTTTATACGAAAATCTGCTCTCTGGAAATTGTCACCTCAGTGCACAGTTTTGAAAGCTATACAAATCCAAATGTTAAAAATAATAACACGAAGAAGACTAAAGAATCACATTTGGAGAAATGTATATCCTCAATCTGCACAGGGTCTAGCACAGTGTTTCTTTTTAAAATATTTGCTAGTACTCAGTAAGGATGTTAAAGCCACCTCCACATCATGACAGCTGGGCCACAGGGCTGTTTCCATTTCCATGAGCAGCAACGGAGATAAAGCAACCACAACTATCCCTCTTTGATTTCATTTCTCCTTCCTCACAGTTCCTGCTTTTATTGCCTTAATTTTCCTTTACTTTTGTCATTTTTACATATTTTCAAATTGATTTAAAATCTTTAACTTATAAAGCACCTTTCACATGTTTATCTCATTTTATTCTCACATGAAATAAGTATTGCCTCAACTTTGAAGTTAGAGAACTGAGGGCTAAAGCAGTAAATGACCTGTTCAATATTTCAGAATAAGTGGATAGTAGAGAACTTCATTTTCACCTGATTCCACACTACCATCTGTCAGTGGGCATAAGACTTGCTGTCAATCATCTTCCTCTCTGTCTCCTCTTCTTTTTTTCTTTCCTTAATGCTATTCTGTTTTATGTGTGTTTTCAAGGACTAGCAGTTGTGTCTCACCTACTTTGTTATATTGTCTTCTTTTCTTCCTCCACCTCTTCTTGTTTAGTGACCAACCCCTTCACTGGCTAATTCTTACTTATCCTCAAAGTGTCAGTGGGGCTGTCCTCCACCAGGAACGCTTCTGAGTGCATACTCTGCCCTGGAGGAGGCCTCTCTCCCCTGTGTCCACAGAACACTTAATGTTTCTTAGCAGAGGATTTAAGATCTGTGGCTTCTTGAAGACAAGGATCATATCTAGCTTATTATATACCATGATGCCTGCAACTCCTTGAAAATCCAGTTTGTTAATCTCACAAATACTAAATTGTGAGATTAACAAACTGTGATTGCAGAAATGTGTAGGAATGCATAAAAAAAGGAGGATTCTAAAAATCTCTTTCCATAGTTTGACAAGGGAAAAATTCAGATGAGCCTGACTCTGTATAGCTACTTGAGACAGAATTGTATCTCCTAAAAGTACTACAATTCCTCCTATCCCAACCTTCCTCCAAAACGGTGTGAACACTATAATCCATCTCTCTGTATTTCAGTGTTAGATGATATTACTGTTAAAAATATAACAATTCCTTTCTTTTGTCATGAAAGTAAAGAGAAGTTGGCTATAATAGAATTTTCACATCAAAACTCTCTACCTGAAACCCTTTTTACTGTTGCATTATACTACTTTAATATGAAATATTTCACAACTAGAGGCAGGGGTAGAAAATAGCAACCATCCACACACCCATATTCAGTTTATCAAATCATAACATTTTGTCATATTTAACTTCATATTTTTTTAAAAAATAAAACATTATTAACACACTTGAAGTCTGGTTTCTACCCCCTAATACGATTCCCCATCTCCTAGAAAAGATATTATCCTAAAATTGATTTGCTATTTTTAAGATTGTGTGTATATAAAGAATTTATATGATTGTTTAGTGGTTTCTTAAATATTACATGAATTATGCATTTGACAATAGGCATAATGATGACTAAAGTGAGAGTCCAGATGTTAACAATATTGGTCCACCAACAGGAAATTCACCATTAATATTTTTATTGTTGATAGTAGTAATCACATACTACCATATAAAATTTTCCATTGGGCTCAGTCACATTTAAAGTCTGATCTAATAATAATATACTAATAACACTAATTAGCTAGTATACTCTCTCTCCACTGATTACACTGATCCTAAGCCATCATCTTTCTTATTGAAGGTTATAAACATTTTTCTTCTCTACTTAATTCCACTTTCATATCCTCTTGAGTTTAAATGGGATAAACCAAGAAATTCATGGGTTGTATCCCAGTAGAACTGAAACCATTATGCCACCACTTAAACAAAATATCTAGATTCAACCTTTATGACTTGGAAGATGGTAATTACTGGACATCTAAGCCTAACACAAAGACATCTGAGTACCTACCATCTCCAAACAGGTGTGCCACAAGCCTGGTGAGAGTTTGCTTAAGGTCAAACTCTACAAGCTTCAAGGCCTCCATGGTATGTGTCTCTTGCTTATAAGCAGAGCGAGAACTTTGTTCAAAGAGCTTCAGGCAGTCTCCATCCTTTATATCAGCAAATAACTGTAAACCAAAAGGAAAAGAATAAATACATAAAGCCAGTTGAAATAATATAGAAATCCAGCTAAAACACAAAATTTAATCTGTTATAATATGCAATAAAAACTATATCTCATACTTAATAAAAATACCCAAATTAACATCCACTTAGAAGCAACTTTGAGTAAAGCTCTATGCTACATGGTGCAGAGAGTCTAGGGAATTAAGAGACTGTTCTCATCTTTGATGATATCTCTCTGTTTTACATTTGTGTAAAGTTATAGTCATTTCCAAGTTAGAGACAGTATCCTCAATTCTAGTGAAAACACAAATGAATCAGGCTTTCAGACTCAAAAATGATATCCCCAACTATCCCACAATGTCCCTGTACTGTGACCTGGGACTAGGTAAGAAAGTATTGTCTGGGAATCAAATCCTGTGAAGTCCACGAAGGCAGGAAGCATGCTGGAATTTGCTACTCTTTTATTTCCAAAGCCCAGGACAGGAATTGCCCCACATTTCTGCCACTTACGATCCATGTGAACACATGCAAGAAATCTGGTAGATATGCCTCTGGTAATGATCTATAAAATGAGATAACACTCAACACACTTTATGATAAATAAAATAATACATGAAAATACAGAGTACTTGGCATAGTGCAATGGCAAAATAAATTTTCCGCATTATCATCATTATCATCATCACTAACAATCATAGCTACTAGTAGTCAAAAGTTGCTTTACCAATAAAAGTAGGTAAAGACCTACTTTTTTGCCCATCTGTGGTAAAAAAAGTAGGTCTCTACCTGAGCTACGAGCTTTGAGTAACAAAGAGAATTGTGTATATGAATCTATCATCCTTCCCACCAGAAGTCCCATGAAATAAAAAAATAACAAACGTTTTTATTTAAAGAGTTAATCAACTGACATTTCGAATAATGTTGAGTTCAATTATTAGAATCAATTCTCCTGATAAATGCTACTAAAAAATTGGCAAGAGCATTGAAAAAGTAATAAAATAGAAATTACTAAACAAAACTCTATAAGAAAGTATAAAACCAGGAAAAAAGGCCTAGCACAAAGCCACTGGGAATATCTTGCCTACCCAACATATCAACTGAAAAACTGAACATTGGTTGTGACAACTTAAAATAGAAAGTGAGACAAAAGTGAAACCCAGCGTCTGACCAAGTCAGAGTGTCTGAAACAAACAGCCCTAAAGGAATCATCCTCATCATAAGGAAGAACACAATCTTGTCCTTGTGTATACCTGCAGTTAGGTGTCATTCCCTGGGCAATAGGGAGAGCCTCAGGCTGTGAAAATGGATTAAGCCAAACCAAGACTGGCAGTTCCTTTAAATGCCCAGAAAAATTATTTACAAAATAGGGTTGGGGAATTGGCTCAGTGTTTAAGTGCCCCTGGGTTCAATCCCCGCTACCAAAAAAAAAAAAAAAAAAAATTCAGAAAAAGATCCTGTCACAGGCATCAAATACAATGACAAGTGCCAAAGTCTTGTCACAACAAAAGAACAAATGAAACAATTAAATACCATTCCCTCAGCATAATGTGAAAAACGGAATTCCTGAGCATCAAAATAACTGTATAAAAAGGTACCCAGGGAGGGAACAATGCCATTCTTAATCCACTAGGAGCCTTTGAGGAAATCAAGTGCAAGCCGAGGAAAACCTAAGGAAAGAAAGAAGAGAGTGAGGTGGTAAGGCTGATCTAACATCACCAGTCATTACAGTCACTCGAGTCCAATCTCAAAAATTAACAACAAATATATGAGTGAAAAAAGAATTGCAAGGAGAAATGATCAGACTCAGGAATAAAACAGAAGAAATTAAATCTTCTCAAAACTCAAGTTCAAATTGTAAAGTACAAAAGAGACAATGGAGTCAATGGATATTTAATAAGGAACATTGAAGAAAAGCAGAAAAGCAATGAAGGGAAGAGACAATTCAAAATTTTAAAATGAACAACAGGCAGAGAATAAGTGGCAGAAATGGAAGAGAAGCAAAGAAGGGACAGTGTTTATATAACTGGAGTCCCCAGAAGAGAAAAGTCACATGATGGAATGCCACTGATGGGAAAATAAAGACAGTGAGAACTTGAGAAAATAAATTATGGAGGACTGAATGGTTAACCCATTAAACTGAAAAGATAACAATGGAAAAGCCCTCATGGCCTCTAGGAAAACACAACTAAAATAAAATAAATGAGTAAGAATCGCAGGGCAAGGGAAATTCTTCAAAAGTAACATACAAAACAAGGCAACAAGGGCTGGGGCTGGGGCTCAGCATAAGCGCTCCTCTAGCACATGCAAGGCGCTGGACTGGATCCTCAGCACCACAAAATAAATAAATAAATAAATAAAGGTATTGCATCCAACTACAACTAAAAATAAATTAAAACAAAAACAACAAGGCAACAGTAGAGCCACATTATCAAACAACTCAATTGAAAACTGTATGGACCAAGAATTTTATATCCATCAATGTTGTCCTTAAAGGATCAAGGGTATAGAAAAAGCCTAAAGACACAGGGATGCTACATTATCAGGGAGATCTTTATGAAACTTTACCAATGCAAGAACTTCATGTAAGCAAAAAATAAATGGGAATTTTTCAGCAAAAGAAAAAAAGAGAGAGAGAGGGGGGCTGGGACTGTAGCTCAGTAGTAGAGCACTTGCCTTGCATGTGTGAGGTACTGGGTTCAATCCTCAGCACCACATAAAAATAAATAAGTACAACTAAAAAAAATTTTTTTTTAAAGAGAGAAAGAAAGAAAAGCTAATGTGGAGAATATTAATAAAATAAAATTGCAGATTTGACTATAACAAAGCTGGAGATTAAGTTGGATAATTAATATACAGTTGTTACATGTGACATGATCCAACAAAGTAGAAATAATGTAACTAAAAATCAGAATGTAGAATACAATCATTGATTATCATGTAGTCAATAGTTAGACAATATCTTAAAAACAAACCAGACTATAAAAAGTTAAGAAAGCAGTACAGTAAGGTGTTTAAAAGAAGTAAGTATAAAAGCAATCATTTAAAAAAATATATAACCTTTCTGAATAGCAACAAAAAGTTTAATTCAAGAGCAAAATAACCTATACCTTATTAAAAAACCAACCAATATAAAATAATGCACAGCCACAAAATATTATGACAAGTTGAGATCAAACAGCCATTGTATCAATAAATGCAAATAAATTTAATTCGGAATAACACTTAAAGGGGAAAACGATGTTAAATTTGGACACAAAGCATGACCCAGCTACCTACTAGATTCAAGAAAAATACCTAAAACAATGTTAAATACAAAGGAATAAACAGATAAAAATAGGAAAATAAAAATATTAAAAAAAATGGCAAACCTGATGTAAAACTAGAATATAAAACCTGATATAAAAGTAGAAAAAAAATTAAAGAAGCAACATACAACACAAAGAGATACAATCTCTAACATAAAGGACTTTTAAAAACTGAAGAAAAGGCAGAACCTCAATTTTACATAGAGAAAAATACATGAACTATTTATCCTCAAACAATAAGTGAAAATGACCCTTAAATATACAAAAAAAAAAATCAGACAGTGAAATGCAAATTAACCACTGACATATTATTCCTAACCTATGATGCTGGCACAAATTAAAAAGCTAGACAACATATTCTTTGGGGGAGACTTCAGAAAACATGCACTTTTTATACATGGTCGTGGTAATGGAGACTGGAAAAACTCTTGTTAAGGTGAATTTGGCAACATCCTACAAAACTACACTTACTGTTCATCTCCTGACCCACTACTCCAGTTTCTAGCTATTTATCCCAAAGGTATACTTCCCAAAGTAATGCACTTTTCCAAGGTTTTCATAGCATTTTTTTGAAACCGCAAAATATTAGAAATAAAAATCTCGCACTATTAGAGACATGGTGAATAAACTATGAACTACCTATATAATAGAGCACCAGTGGTAGGTGTAATAAACAAGAGCTCTCCGAACGAATATTGAATGATTTCCAAGATAAACTGGGAAGTGAAAAAGGCAAAGTGCGAAATAGATATTATTATATGCCATGTTTTGTGTAGGAAATAAAATAATAAAATACATGTAAGTTTTTTCATTCATGCAAAACAAAAACAAAAAACTAAAGCATAAAACCAAAATTGAAAAAATGAATTACCTGCAAGAAAATGGGTAGAAACAGGAGGAAAAAAAAATGGGTGAATGGGAACGGAGTAAAAAGATCAGGGTAGGGTAGTGACATTCTCTGTGTAAACTTTTTTATACTTCTGACTTACAGAATCGTGTTACTCTAGTAACTCAAAACACCAAAAAATAAAATCCATCCAGAGGTGGCTAGAACCCAAAATGAAATACAAAGGATAACAGGGTGTAGAACATTATTTTAAATAAATGACAAAGCCACACTGAAGAAAACAAAGAATTTAATTTGAAAACAGAATTTTAATGAGTTTTTCTACAATTAAGATCACAATAGCAAATAACTGCATAAAAATTAGTAATTATTTTTCCCACAGAGATACATACTAATAATTCTGAAACTACCTTATATGGTTACTATATAGCTGATCAAACCAGCAAATAAATTTTGGGTAAGAACCAAGTTTCTATTTTTTTTGTTGTTGTTTTATTTGTGGAACTGTGGGTTAAACCCAGGGGTGTTTTATCACCGATCTACATCCCAAGTCCTTTTTCATTTTGAAATAGGGTCCCAATATGTAACCACCATGTTGCCTTGTGAAATAACATACTAATAAGGACACAGCATTCATTTCCATTCATTGGCTGGCATCAAAATTTGCCTCAGCCTCTTAAGTTGCTAGTTTGCAAGTGTGTGCCACCGGACCCAGCAAAGGACCAGGTTTCTCACTGTCATTGTCAAAGGCAATGGGGACCCCTAGACCAAACCATTTATTTGGTGCTAGCTTGGAACTGGACACACTCATATGAATTCATATTTTTAACGCATGTGTATAAATAAATAT